AGGGTCTTAACTAAGCAAACTCTAGTACTCCGACAACTGCTAAGGCAGTTGGCACAAGTGCACATCTTATTTGTGTTTCTTTTTTTTTCATCTAATTATGTGATATATAAAATAAGATAATCATTTTTTATTTTTAAATGTTTTTTTTGTTCAATTCAAAACTTAAATTCGAAAACTTAAATTGAAAGTTTTAAGTTTTTAACTGTTAAATCACTTATTGAGGCGTACACATCTTCACACATCTTCTTTGTAAATAATAAGAAGAATTACTTTGTTAAGTTATTGAAATTTGAAAAATTCACATGGTGAAATTTTTAGTGTGATTTTCTTTTGTTCCAGTGGTTGAACCGAAATGGGAATAGGATCTTTGGCACAACCAACCATGTAAGCAAGAAGGGAGTCAGGATCAGAGATACTGTAAATGGGGCCTGCCATGTGCTACGCCAGTTTTATTTATTTATTTATTTTTTCCTTTTGGTCTTACGAAAAAGCTTTTTCCTTGATGGGTCGCCATCTGCCATGATTTATCACTTAAATGTTATCATCATCACTTCAATACTTTGCTTCTAACATTCCGCCACATGGTTTTTGTTTTTGTTTTTGTAAGCATTCTGCCACATAGGGTGTAACGGTGTAGGCCTTGCTTCAATTTTCCTCTTTTTCAAAAATCACATTGGATTTTAATGAAAAGTAGACCTTAGTCCAAACTAAAAAAAAAAAAAGAAAAAGAAAAAAGGAAAAAGACACAAGATCCCTCCTCTTTGGCTTGCTCTCTTGGTTATTGAAAGGGATTATGTAAGTAACTATCACATTATTGCTACAAGTACAATAGAATCTCACAAACTATATGATGATAAATAATTTATTATTTTCTTAATCTTGAAATTTTTATTTGAAAAGTAGTTAATCAAATGAACTGTAATATGATTTTTGAGCCTTTTTATGAAAGTAAATTACCATACTTTTAAGATCATTGAATTAACACGACCTCATTACCATGTTTTTATGGTTGGATAAATATACAACTTTCACCCCTTTTTTTTATCTTCCCGTTGGTAATTGTCTTTTTTTTTTTTTGTGTGCTAAATCTTTAATATCCAGAAGTTACATTAAATTTTAATTAATTTAAAATCAAGTTAGATGCTATAAGAGGAAACTCTTTTAACACGACTTGTTTTTTCTTTTGTTTATTAGAAACCAAATTCTTCACCATACAACTAAAGTGTATGAGCTAAGTCCATCAATTGGGCCGGAAATCTGGCCGACCTTTAGTCTTCTTCTGGAAAGAGATTGAATAGCCCATCAGCCCATAATATGTATGGGCTGAATGGATTTGGATCTTATTCTATAATTGCAATATGTT